GATTAGTAAACGTACCAGGGGCCGGGCACAGCCGGCATCCAAGACCACGCAGGTCAGCAGCGGGGGAGCGGGGGAAAAATTAAATCCGGTGGCACTCCGGTACACCAAGGATGTTTAAGCCAATTTACCTGAGCGGGGCCCGAGGTTGGGTTACCCGACTTACCGTAGGCAGCGTGGGCTGCTGTAGAGCACGACGGCAATGAACTGGACTGGCGGCAGCGGACTGAATCGGCGGCAGACTGGCGGCAGAGTCTCCCAAGCAGCGGCAGCAGGTCTGGACAGCTTCTGGACAACTCCTTGGACTGCTGGAACCCTCTGGACCGACTTGGCAGCACTCCCTGGACCTCCGGCGACGGCGTGCGACGGCGAGGCGGCGGCGAGGCGGCGGCGAGGCGGCGGCAGTCCCTCCGTGTCTCTGATACCACTGTTGTTCGGACTTCCAGCTCAGGTCTCAACCAATTAACATCCACAAAGGATGAAGAAGCACCACTAGAGTCTAAAGGCAAGGTTGTGGGCAACAACCGACTGACTATTCCGGCCAAAACGTCCGGCGAACCCACAAAGGAGGGACTGGTTTGAATTTTGGGACTTAGGGTTTTTTCGGCCAAGCTCAATCAGCAGAAGGGGAATGATAAATATATAGACCAAGAAATCGGCAAAGATGGTAACAAACGATCTTACCAAAGAAGGAAGATTATGCCAGCATCACACCAATGCGAAGAAGGAAAGAGCCGAGCGAGAAAGATAGCTACAGCAATCGGTAAGTTCAAACCGTAAGAGGGCCGGGTAAGATACCAAGAGGGAATGGGCTGGATACTTCCGAAGTGAAATTGGGCTTACAAGAATAGAGGGCCAATACCAACACAGGTACTATGAAAAATAATACGGAATTGATACAAGTATTTAACTTATATCAAGATATTACAATCCATTAGGTTATCGCTGAATAGGGTGTATATAAAACACAATAGGACGATTCTAATTGACAAATATTTTATTAGTCAAATACTATTAATATTTTATAAGGCATTGGCTTTTATCATTTAGCAATCGGTTGATGTATTTCAATACTACTCATTATAACATCTCGGATATGAGTCTGGTACCCGCACAGGTAGCTCAGCTGGTCGAGTGGTGGGAAAATTGGAACTATGACCAACGTTCGAATCCCCGCAGCGACCGGGTGGAGGTCACAGAACCTGAAATAAGGCTGGGCCTCTGGTGCGCACGGGGTAAAGGCCTACTGCCACTCTGCTGACTGAGTCACCGTGACTTACATCCTCCCATGTGCTCTGTCGGGTCGGGGCGTGGGGGCGCTTGGGGTTGGCGATTCAACCTTTTGGAACTCGGATATGAGTCTGGTTTCTACCGAAATTCCTGTTAGTGTACATTATAGGTCCCCAATCTACAATTCACTGTAGATTGGCTTAACTCGAGTTGTTTCAATCTCCATCATTTCCTGAAAACTGTTTGAGGGAACACACAATCTCCGGGACTGTTTATTATGTAGACCACATATGTACTTGGTATAAATCATCAGTGATGTGAGTAAGGATGTTTTCTTTTGGACTGTTTTCAGTCCCAGACTAGACCAGACCAGATTTAAACAGACCAGACCAGACCAGACCAAACCTGACTTTCATAGTTATAAAATACACAGAGACCAGACGTTTACCAGACCAAACCAGACCAGTTCAGACCAGACCAGACCAGACTTAAACAGACCAGCAAATTTCAGTCTAAAAGAAAACATCCTAACTGTGATAGAATTCATGATAATTTGATCCGTGGTCGATATGTTATAATGGAATGTAGTACATCCCTATAATATGGTCACTTTACGTGATTAATACAAGGGATACAGGACTTAAATGAAAATTGCGTATATGGATCACCTATCTATGCTATTATATCGTAGATAGGTAATTGAATCGTATACTACCAGATAACACTTAGTCTGGTAAACACCTAGAAATTGGCATAGGATGGTTATAATTGTATAACCATGGATACAATCACGACTAGGAAATTACCGACTAAATGCACTATGTACCTTTTTTTTTGAAAGGAATGCACTATGTACCTTGAATACCCACCCTATTTATAAATATGGGATATTTATAATAGGTTTATTTACCATATACTTAATTGAAACACATATAGGCTTATACATTATAGACTACGGAAACTCTCGAGCACTCAATGGTAATTGCGTTAAAACTATAATTTCTACATTAGAATTAGTATTACAAATCCCAACTATAAATTAAATACCGTATGGAGTATATTTAATATGTTACGTCGTTGTGAAGGATTGATGGTCCATTTCAAGGTAGATTCTATGGTACCCCAAATGTACCGTACCTTTGTCCAAATGGACCAATAAGAATGATGCAGTTGAATTATTTAACTCTAAATTAAAAAACATATAATGATTTGGACCAATCAAATGCATAGTAGGTACGGTACCCCCATTTTTTAAATGGGTATCGGAGTTGTCACCCCATTTCAAATACCCAGTACGTGAAACATAAGTTATGATATCTTAACGAGTTTTATCTACGTTATAAAACTTTATAACGTAACATGGTCCCTATTAGGGCATATATCTTTACAATACCGTATAAGCTATTTTTCCCTAATACCTTAGGGAAAAATACTTCATTCAATGCTAATACGTATATAGTTATCTTGGCATGAACTAAACTGGTATGTAATCCTCCTACATCCAGTCCCACCATATATATATATATATATATATATATATATATATATATATATATATATATATATTCACTAATACAATTTTAAACCTAGTTATGATCGCTTGAGATATACCATAAACAATTATACGATCACGACTTAAATATTGTTTAATACTGGTGATTTATACGTATTAGCATATATTTTGAGGGTAACAAAATATTGTGATCGTTATTCGTTAATGGAAACAATAATAGTGAAGAATACTGTGTAACTCGCATGGGTTAGGATGTTTTCTTTTGGACTGTTTTCAGTCCCAGACCAGACTTAAATAGACCAGACCAGACTTAAACAGACCAAACCAGACTTGGACAGTTATAAAATACACAGAGACCATACGTTTACCAGACCAGACCAGACCAGACCATCAAATTTCAGTCCAATAATATATACGATCTCATTGTATGTTTGTAATACGGCAATTAATATATACTGTTACGATTAGGCAAAGATAAACGATAAATTAAGAGCAAGAACACAAGAATTAACGTGGTTCACGCAATCGGGGTGATTACGCTAGTCCACGGCGAACGAGAGAGAGTATGTATTATTATCAGCGTCCCAAGAGGTTTACAAGTACATAAGAGTCGTTTAAATAGGTTTAGGAAAACCTAAACTGAGATTAGAGCCGCAGGCCCAAAATTAAGCCTGTTTTTAAAATTCCCGTCGCCTGACCCGGTCGGGTCTCTTATTTGACCCGGTCGGGTCTCCTTCACAGAACACAAACCCGGTGGAAACCAGGTCGGGTTTCCAAAACAGAAGGCTTCTGCCTTGCTGACCCGGTCGGGTCCCTTCCCTGACCCGGTCGGGTCTCACTTCCAGTGATATCCCCCGGTCTCTGCTTCAACATACCCGGTCGGGTGGCCAACCATACCCGGTCGGGTATCTGCTCTGAACCTAAGAACAAGACTCCATCTTCAACAATCTCCCACTTGGAGGCTTGATCAACAATCATCTGCCATCCAAGAACATGTATCTTCTGTAAAACCCCTGATCTCTCTCTCTCTTTCTCTTTCTCTTTCTCTCTCGTCCGCGCCTTCTCATCAAGTATCTGGAAGGCCCGTTGAAGCCATGCATAGCTTCAACTTCTCGGTTGTCACCGCCTTGGTAAGCATGTCTGCTGGATTCTTCGTACCAAGGATCTTCTTCAAATTTATAGTACCATCTTCAATCAATTCTCGAATGAAATGATACCTCATCTTGATGTGTTTCGTTCTGCTGTGAAACACCGGATTCTTCGCGAGATGAATAGCACTCTGGTTGTCACAGTACAGACCACAATTCCCCTGTTTCATGCCCAACTCCAAAAGAAAGTTCTTCAACCAAATCATCTCCTTGGCCGCTTCAGCAATAGCCATATATTCTGCTTCTGTGGTTGAAAGAGCTACACTCTTCTGTAATCTGGACATCCAACTGATTGCCGTACCTCCAATAGTGAATATGTAACCCGTAGTGCTCTTCCCGGAATCATGACAGCCCCCCAAATCAGCATCTGCAAAACCTTCTAGAATTGCTCCATTCTTCCTGAAACAAAGAGCAATTTCAGAAGTACCTTTCAAGTAGCGTAACAGCCACTTGACTCCTTCCCAATGTTCCTTCCCTGGATTCACTACAAGAAAATAGGTCATTTACCCACACATGCATGTGTAGGTAAAACAATAGGTATGCGTGGGCAATAGTTTTTACCCACACATATATTAAGTGTTACGATGTGTGGGTAAAAGAGTGTAGGTAAAAGTTATTTCCTACACTTAAAATTATGTGTGGGTAATTGTAGTGTTTTTAGCCACACATGTATGTGTAGATAAAACACTATTAAATGTGTTACTATTGGTCATTTGAGCCGTGAGACGGTGACATGGCATGTGACGTGGAAATCCACGTGGTCACTGACGTGATCGCTGACGTGGAAATCCAAGTGTAAATGCTGATGTGGTCGTTGACGTAGATCATTATGTGGATGCCGACGTGGCACAATACATGGATGCCAAATAGTGCCACGTGGAAGTGTTAATGTGTAGTTAAATTGTTAAAAATCAGAGTATGTGTAGGTAAATCTTTTTTATGTGTAGCTATACGTAACTATGTTTTAGTGAACCCAATTTTTACTTTCATATTCATTATTATTGAATGTATATGTACATAATCATCAAACATAGCACAATAACAATTTAATACTATAATACAACTACAAAAGAATTAACATAAGAACATCCACAAATACACACTGAACAATAAAAACATAATTAATAATTGACATAAAAAATCTAATCTTCAATTTTCAACGTCACAAAGTTATTGTATATAACGTTTACATCAATGTGCTTCAATTTTATATCCCCAAGTTTAGAAAACGAGTCTTCTTAGCCATCGTAATATGAGTTTCTGCGGCACGTTCAAAGCTCAAACCATCTGCAATTATACCAAAGAATACGTAGTCATACATTTGAGCTCAAATTGTCAATTCACAAACAACAAACAATACATAATAGGATATTTTCTACAATACATTATAGTAGATCTTTTCTTCCCCAGACATATTTTGGAGAACTTCCATGCCGTCTGCTTTTGCATTATAGGATATTGTTACTTGAAAAAATCTAAGCAAAATAGTTGTAGTATAATAGATACTAAGACAAAAAAAAATAAAAACTAAGATATTCAATTTTTAAGAATAAAATAAAGACACCACTTATTCCAAATCACAACTGACATGGAAAAAGTTAACCCTCATATGACTAAAGTTAATAACTCGCATGTGGCACTGATTATTCCTAGTTGAGCACCTAAGTTACTCAAAGAAAATAAGCTCATGCTCTTTAATTGTAAGCTAAAAGTCTAAAAGTAATTATGGTACTTGCTATCGGCTTTCTAATGCTATTATGAGTTATTCACCTTTGCTTACATGTGTGATGGAGTTTAATCCAACTACGAGAGCTAAATATACGTAGAGTATAGAAATAATATCGAAATAATATGGCAGCGTAAGGCAATATTACTCTTATTCCGGAAAACGAATTACCCATTCCTTGGTAGGGTGTTTACATGAAGTATTTATAGAGATTAGGAGGTAGAATTATGAGAGGAATCTAATACAATAAATGCTTAATTAATGAACTATATTCTTGCTCGAAATAGAACTCATTTTCGTGCTTCATTCTCACGCAATAATCATCTCCTAATTCCGGTCGAGTCCTGCCTGTTGTCAAATATGTATCGATAGCTTGCCACGTAGGCCCTAGGAATATCCCGGCCTCACTAGAACTCCGCTCAGGCTCGAGGTCTGCTGTCCAGCCCGACCTGGCTGTGGGTTCCTATCGTGGGCCTGATTCCTAATGGGCCAAGCGGCTTATTTAATATAAATCCCGTTTATGGGCTAATCCTGTTAATTAGGCAAATCCCGTTGAGGGCTGATCCCGTTTATGGGCTAATCCTGTTAATTAGGCTAATCCCATTATGGACTGATCCCGTTTATGGGCTGGGTTACGTAATTGGGCCATGACTATAATCAATGGTACCATCAATGTGCTTCAACTTTAAAAAACCAATTACAAAGCAAAACACACGACCTGATAAGTCAAAGTACTAAATCAATTAAATAATGGAGTAGTTTATTTAGACTAACTTAACACACATTCATAAGCTGCCTTTGAAATTACCAAACTTTATATGACCATGTACTCAAATATACAATGGAAATAAATTATGCACGTAATTGGTTAAGGCCCATCAATACTCTATAAACTAAGATTAGCTTTAACTATGAAGAGAGGAAAATAAAAAGAGCTTGAAATAAACCTGGAGTGCCAAGGTTGAAGTCAAAAGATAGTACATAGTATGAGTCTATTGAAGTCACCACTTGCCGAGCCGACAATCTGTCAATCTGAAGCTATATACATTAGACATGCCTTTTCTATTGAAAGACTCTTGGTCCTTGTGATGTCAAATTCTTCATTTAAATTAAATAATCTATAAAAAATGAAATTTGAATCAACTACAAAAAATGAAGGCAGAATCTAGGACTCAACTAGTTCAAAACAAATCTGAGAAGAAATGGAAGAAGCGGTTAAAGAAAATACACTCATAGCAGCAAAATGAAGTGCTGCACATACAATACATGTATTAAAAAGAGGACAAGGAAACAATACATGAAAAATTATAAAGTTTCCAACTCATGCCATTACTATATAGTCTCATTCAGCAAATTAGTTTGAATACCTTTTAATCTAGTGAATACCTTTCCACCCTTCCCTATGGCAAATTAGTGAATAAAATCTCTAAATCTCCACCTAAACGTTTGACAAAGATAACAACAATGAATTAAAAGAACCATGCAAAACATAAAGTATTACTCCGTATATTGAAGAAGCATAAAGTATTACTCCGTACACAGGAATATAAACCTTAGATTAACACCATTTACATTTGAAAACAGTTTGAAAATGGAGACTGTTCAAACCAAAACATGAGACAATCCGCCTAATTATCTATATCTGTCAACAATAAAAATCAGAAAATGCTCCTTACTACATATAAGCAGTGTTAAGTCATTATCCTCTATATACATAGAGAGTAATAGAACCCAAAATGTATGATGTACTACTCATTAGGTATAAAATGCATTGTAAGTCTGTAATCATATCCTTTTTTAAATACTTGATATAACATAAACAAGATAACCATGTTGCTCATATAAAATAACTATCAATTAAGGAAGCTCAAGACTAGATTCCCAAATTTACTAAGCGGGGCACCCGTGTCAATGATATACATGTGTCTCCGATTTCATCTTTATTGGTAGGATGGTATCAAATGCTTACATTTAAGTGATTTCCCTCAAAACTGCAGGTACACACAGAAACAGAAAAATAAAAGATCAATGAATAAATTTAGAGCATAAATACTTAAACGTATTTTAAAGTGACCTATGTAATTTGAATAAACAGAAAATTAGTCAATTAATAGAGCATAAATCATGGAATTGAAATAGAATTTTAAAAATTAAAGATTCACAAGTTAGACTTTATGATAGCAGAAAAACATGTCATTGAGTCAAATATATAGAGATTAAAATAAGCAAGAATATATACCTTTGTCTTCCGTAGCCAAGAAGAGAAGATTGCAGGAGCAGGGCTACTGCAATTTGCTGATTACAATCCTCTTTTCTGGGGGAAATGATGTCTCTATCTCCAAGGCCCAAGGAAAAAAGTGGTCTGCTTTAGTGAATTTTATTTTAGCAGCAAGGGAAGAGGACTATCTAGTGGAAAGGTCAGGTTAGGGAAGCTGCCACCATTACAATGAACAGAATCAAAAGAGCATTTCAGATTAATTGAATCCATAAATTAAAACCTCGAATGATGGATGTAGGTTTCATCTTCGGTTTTTCTTTCAATTGCAGATTTAAGGTCTTACAGACGGGCGAATAGAGTAAGAACGGTCTCAACATTGCTAGGCCCATCAAGGGAATTGAGAAAAAGATACACGAGGAGAGAGTGATGAGCGCTCCCCGCCACCGTCTATGACCAAGAGCATTTGAAGGAGGACGTCGCCGCTACGTCTGCCGCAGAGTGGATCGGGAAAGGCAGAGCTGTATGGAATGGATGCTTTGATGAAGGCATCATCGGCCGAGAGGAATCCTATCCGTCTTAGTCCTCTGTAATCCTCGATTCCACTTGTGTTCCCAGCCGATTGTCGTCGATGATTGCAGGCTAAAGAAGAAGAAGGAGCAGAGCCAGAACCGCTAGAAACAAAGCGAGTAAAGAGGCGAAGTGGTAGGGTTAGGGCGGGATGAGTTAAAGGTGAAGCCGTAGGGTTAAGGGAGTTATGGTGATGTGGGTATTTTCGTTATTATTATTTTTTAATTAAATAAAATGTGAAAGTAAATTCACGCACTAAAATCCACGTCTGCTTTTGCTTCACACGTTGCTTCCCGCAAAGATGAAAAATTTGAGGGAAATTTTCCCTCTTAATTTTAATGTGATGAAAAGTTTTTACCCACACGTAACTTGCGTGGGTGACGTAAACGGTTCCATTTAATTAATTACCTACACATATTCAAATTATGTGTGCCTAAATACCCACACTTAATATGTGTAGTTATTTTAAGTGTGGGTAAAACACATAATTTCTTGTAGTGATTTGACATAAACCTGCTAACAACTCCCACTGCATGAGCAATGTCCGGCCTTGTTGACATCATTGCGTACATCAAGCTGCCAACGGCTGATGCATAAGGAACTTTAGCCATCTCATCTTTGTCTTCATTGGTCTTTGGAGACTGCTGCTTGGAGAGTTTCAACTGACTCCCTAACGGTGTACTCCTTGGCTTGGCATCCGTCATTCTGAACTTCTCAAGGACCTTCTGAATGTACTTCTGCTGTGAAAGCTTCAAAGTACCTTCCACCTTGTTTCTGACTATGCTCATCCCAAGAATCTGTCTCGCCTCCCCTAAATCCTTCATCTCGAATTCTTCAGACAACTTCTTCTTGAGCTTGTTGATCTCCTGCATGTTTGCTCCAGCCACCAACATGTCATCAACATACAAAAGAAGAATAATGTATGAAGACTCGAATTTCTTCAAGTAACAGCAATGGTCCATCTTGCATCTAGTGTACCCATTCCGCTGCATAAAACTGTCAAACTTCAAGTACCACTGTCTAGGAGCTTGCTTCAGCCCGTATAGACTCTTCTTGAGTTTGCACACCATCTTCTCTTTACCACTCACTGGGAAACCTGCTGGTTGGGCCATGTAAATGTCTTCTTCAAGGTCACCATGAAGAAAAGCAGTCTTCACATCCAGCTGCTCCAAATGCAAATTTTCAGCAGCAACGATACCAAGGATCAACCTGATAGTAGTCATCTTCACAACCGGAGAGAAGATTTCATTGTAATCAACCCCCTTCTTCTGTTGGAACCCCTTGACAACTAGCCTCGCCTTGTATCTTTTGCTCCCATCAGCTTCATCTTTGATTCTGAACACCCACTTGTTCTCCAAAGCTTTCTTTCCCGGTGGTAGCTTGACTAAGGACCAAGTTTGGTTCTTCTCAAGAGAATCTAACTCATCCTCCATGGCCTTCTTCCACTGTATGGAATCCTTCACGGTCAGCGCCTCTGAGTAAGATTCTGGTTCTCCATTCTCGGTCAGCAACAAATAATTTGCTGAAGGAGAATATCTGTTAGGAGGTCTTCTGATTCTGGTGGACTGTCTGACTTGAGGAGTAGCTGCCTCTGAATTTTCACCATCTTCATCACTCCCACTATCTTCAGACATTCCTGTATCTCCTGAGCTCCCACTGCTCCCTGAACCTCCTGTTGTCTCATCACAACCAACAGGTTGTGCTATGTCATCTTCAGTCATCCCGTCAAACACCACTTGTTGCTTGTTTTCTGGTTGCTTGGCTTTGCTAGTTTCTGCTGCAAGACCATCTTTATACAGGGCATTCTCGTTGAAAGTGACATCTCTACTTCTGATAACCTTCTTGCTGTGGTTGTCCCAGAACCTGTAGCCCATGTCATCCATCCCGTACCCAATAAAGATACACTTCTTTGCCTTTGCCTCGAGCTTGTCACTATCTGCATCTCTAACTTTGACATAAGAAATACAACCAAAAACTTTCAAGTGAGTAAGAGATACCTCTCGACCTTTCCATTCCTCTTCTGGAATTTTGAAACCTATGGGAGATGAGGGTCCTCTGTTGATCAAGTATGCTGCTGTGTTCACTGCATCGGCCCAGAACATCTTTGGAAGTCCTGCATGCAATCTCATGCTCCTGGCCCTCTCATTCAGTGTTCTGTTCATCCTCTCTGCAACACCATTTTGCTGTGGTGTTTCTGGAACCGTCTTCAGCATTCTGATCCCCTGTTCAGCACAATACTCTACAAACTCTGTGCTACTGTACTCACCCCCATTATCACTCTTTAAACACTTAATCTTAAGATTTGTTTCATTCTCAACAGCAGCTTTGAACTTCTTAAAAGTGTTAAGGACATCGGATTTATTCTTAAGAAAATAAACCCATACCTTCCGTGTAGAGTCAACAATGAATGTAACATAGTACCGGGAACCTCCAATCGAAGAGACCTTTGTCGGTCCGTAGACATCTGAATGAATCAACTCCAGCCGCTCAATCTTGGGTTGTTGCCCTGTCTTCACAAAGGTTACCCTCTTTTGTTTGCCTAGAACACATGGCTCACAAAAGCTCAACTTTGAATTCTTCAAATCTGGGATTTTGCCCTTTGAAGACAGCATCTTCATTCCGTTCTCACTTATGTGCCCAAGTCTTTGGTGCCACAAAGTAGAGACCCCTGTATCTTCAACTGCTGCGTTTGCCCCATCTGTGGACACTTCAACCATGTACAGTGTACCATGCTTCTGCCCACGAGCAATGACCAGCTTTCCCTTTGTCACCTTCCATTGCTTGTTGCCAAAACTAACGTTATGGCCTTCCTCATCAAGCTGTCCAACTGAGATCAACATCTTCTTCAGGTCTGGAATATACCTCACGTCTTTCAGTCTCCAGGTCGTACCCAAAGAGGTACTGAGATCAACATCTCCAATACCCGTGATCTCCAGGGATTTGTCATCCGCCAAACGAACTCTTCCGCTGTAGGACCTGAAATTTTTCATCAAATCCCTGCAATGACAAGCATGAAACGACGCACCTGAATCCATGATCCAGGACTCAACTGAATTCTCAACACTGCAAATTAGAACATCTTCATAATCCTCTGCCACGTTCACCTCCTTCTTGCCTTTGTCTGCAGGGGGTTTTGGGCACTGATTTCTGAAGTGTCCATTCTCTTTGCAATTCCAACAATTGATGTCCTTCCGGTTCTTGGATTGCCCTCTCTTTCTCGACTTCGATCTTCCTTTCTTGTTACCCCCTCTAGTGGATTTTCTGCCCCTATCTTCAGTACTCAATAAACTATTGGAGCTATCCCCCGAACTCCTCCTCCGGATATCCTCACCAAGGATTAAGTCACGAATACCTTCAAAGGTAAGCTTAGTGGTTCCAGATGAACTACTAACCGCTGTGACTGTACCGGACCAACTATCGGGCAAAGATGATAACAAAAGTAATGCTTGGACTTCATCATCGAATTTAATCTCAACCGAGCCTAACCTGGATATGATTGAATTAAACTCGTTGATGTGATCTGTCACGGATGCACCTTCCTTCATTCTTGTATTCACCAACTGTCTAATCAAGAAAACCTTGTTTGCTGCTGAGGGTTTCTCATACATGTTGGATAACGCCTTGAGCAGTCCGAACGTTGTCTTCTCGTTGACGATGTTGTAGGCAACGTTCTTCGCCAACGACAACCTCACCACACCAAGAGCCTGTCGATCCAACAAATTCCATTCCGCCTCCGTCATCGTTTCTGGTTTGTTCTCAGACAACGGTTGATGAAGCTTCTTCTGGTAGAGATAATCCTCGATCTGCATCTTCCAGAAAGCGAAATCTTGACCATCAAATTTATCGATCTTAACCTTCCCTTCGTCAGCCATAGCTCTGATACCAATTTTTACGATTAGGCAAAGATAAACGATAAATTAAGAGCAAGAACACAAGAATTAACGTGGTTCACGCAATCGGGGTGATTACGCTAGTCCACGGCGAACGAGAGAGAGTATGTATTATTATCAGCGTCCCAAGAGGTTTACAAGTACATAAGAGTCGTTTAAATAGGTTTAGGAAAACCTAAACTGAGATTAGAGCCGCAGGCCCAAAATTAAGCCTGTTTTTAAAATTCCCGTCGCCTGACCCGGTCGGGTCTCTTATTTGACCCGGTCGGGTCTCCTTCACAGAACACAAACCCGGTGGAAACCAGGTCGGGTTTCCAAAACAGAAGGCTTCTGCCTTGCTGACCCAGTCGGGTCCCTTCCCTGACCCGGTCGGGTCTCACTTCCAGTGATATCCCCCGGTCTCTGCTTCAACATACCCGGTCGGGTGGCCAACCATACCCGGTCGGGTATCTGCTCTGAACCTAAGAACAAGACTCCATCTTCAACATATACGATCTCATTGTACACATGAGATCTTTATTCAACTCTAACCATCGGTGGGATATGATCACCAGTATTAATGATTACTTCATTATGAATTCAAAATAATGAAGAGCTTGTATTTCATTGTCATTATATTAATCACAGGGACCCATATCGTATTTATCTGGTACATATATGGGTTGTATAGTTAATGTACGCACTAGGGTGGTGAATAGACTATTGCAATTCTCATACGACGATGTTAAACCTGATACATAGATAATGAAGTATTTTTGCATATATGAACAATGGACTGGTATACTTAAGTGATATAATTGATGTTATTATATCACTTGACTATAGCATTAAATCTATATTATCCCACATTTGTAGTAATATACATATTTGGAGTACTTTACCTCGGATATACGAACTGTATATCAATAAATATCTATTAAACCAGGTAGTATCCTACGATTATTAGGAATTTAGGATCTGTGAATCACTTATTTTGCTTTTTCATATTAAACGTACGTGATAATATATTACCTAAATGATCATACTTACAAATTATGGTTATCCCGTAAGTGTAAATTGATAAATTAATTTACCGTATAACCTGTAAATTGTCGGTATCCTTTTCAACGATACCTTATGTATTACAAATATCGAAATAAAATTTATTAGTATAGGATAAGCAAAATTTTGCTTATTGGACAATATCTACCTGCATGTCATTTATCCGATTAACCTAAACAATACTTCTAATTATGGATACCCCAATAGGTATGGTTTT